CTGAGAGGTAACAAGGGTGAAAACAGACAAAACACACCATGTACATATGTGAGATTGTCAGAATTTGTGAAATTCCAGAAAGAGAATGTCCTATAATTTTAGAGTGTGATTAAATTTTTAAAAACAGATAAAAATCCAAGTGAATAAAAATAACGAAACTCCTTAAAAAAAAATGCCAGCTTTATGTCAAGAGTCCTACTTGTCTTTTGTTTACTCTTCTTTGGTGATCTCTGGGTTACTAGTCTCACTTTTTGAAATCATGAATACTTTTAATCAGAATGTAACTGGTCTAGTATCTAACAGAACTGTGGACTGAATCCTAGGGTAACTAATAAAACCCAGTTTTGTCTGGGATATAATTTAAATTCCTTCCAGAGAATATATAATACCCTAGGATGGAAGCAACATATTCAAGCTGTGTAGGCTAAAATTCTACTATCTCACCGCATTTGACAGGCAGGCTAAGAATAACTGTGATAATTATAAATGCTGAAAGAAATCAAAACAAGACTATTTTATGACAAGAAAATTACATAATACTCAAATTTCATTGCTTATGAAGTTTTATTAGAACACAGTTACACTCATTTGTTTTCATATTGTCTACTCTTACACTAAAACATCAAGGCTGAGTAGTTTAAAAATGATGATTGGATCTGTAAAAACTTAGCATTTGTAGTAGATTCCTACTACATAAACAAATACATACAAAAAAAAAGTTAGCTAACCACAGGGCTAGTCCGAACTACTTTAGCAAGAAACCCAGGAACAGAACACTTAACCACTCTACCCTAATCTAATTTCTCAAAGTAACACTTGCAATTCAAGAATTCAATCTAGCATTCTATGAAAGCTGGTGAAAATGAGAAAATTACATTTCAAGATATTCATGAAACGTTGAGAAAACTGCATACCATCTAAGTATTCAATGGCAGATCATTAGATCATTAGGTCAAGAACAGGTCAAAGGCAGGGCAGAGTGGCACACGCTATAATACCAGCAATGGACAAGCTAGAGCAACAAAGCCTAGTTCAAAGCAGTGGGATTTCCAGTTCAAGGCCAACCTGGGCTAGATAGTGAGAACCTTTCTCAAAACAAAGTCAAAACCAATACAAAACCTCTAAGGATTTGTAGTACTGAATAATGTTATGTATCATTGTTAAACACAAAAGAGGAAATGAAAGGCCTTCTACATTTATGAAGGGTATTTTTTATGAAACTCATGGATTCCTAGCAAAATTGTATCAGGAAATGTATGTATGTATGATTTGGAGAAAGATTTGCACATCTGTACTTTCAAACTTTCATAAGCTGTTGTCAAGAATCATTCAGTTTAGTGTTTGTGAGAACTGTGCGGATTCTATAAAGTCTCCTAGGCTGTTTGACTGTCCATCTAGCAGTTTTCAAGGACAGAACATGACTGAAAATGTAGCCTCTTTTTCTTTACTTCCTCTTGTGTTTAAAAATGCATCCTCAAACATTCATTCTGTCGTGTTATTTGTAGAGCTGACATCAATAAATAATCTTGAAAACATCGTGCTCTGAAGCTGTTCTCTATGAGTGATGCCAACATCTACACGAAACGTCCCAAACCTGATCGCATAGCTCAGACAATGTTTCACAATATGTACGATACCTACACATTGAATTATACTGTAAAAGTCTAACTTTGGGAAGAAAAAAAGGTAAATAAGAAGACAAACAATCTTAGCTATTCAGAGATCCTGTGTTCCCCCACCAAATCATTCCAGAAGAAATTTTGCATCCATAAAGCAACATAGTTTGAAGAATACCCACAATGCTCTTGTCAGCAATCACTAACCAAGAATCACTCCGTTCACTCTAGGTTACAGAGGCTGTCCTCTGCATAAATTACAGTCTCATTTACAAAGCAGGAGTCTATTTATGGTCCCCTTTCCGCAATTTATAACACTAAATCCAGGTGAGCACGGAAGTGAGTACTTCTAACCCTAGCATTCAAGAGGCCAAGGCGGGGAAATTTCAGGCCAGCAATCTGGGCTACATAGAAAAATCCTGGCTTAAAAAATAGTAAAACAAATTTAATGAAGGATAGTTAAGGCACTATTGTAGGGCACAGGATTTTGGCAAGTCTTCCATGTAATCGAGCATCTTCAGCGGTGTAAGGTCTTTAGGTAAGATATGGCTATAAAGGATGGGGGAAAGCCAAGTTAGGCTCACATGGAGCTACCTTCCAGTGCCAGAAGACAGTGATTTAACAAGACAAACAACAGACAGTGCTAAAGGACCTGCCAATCAGAAGAGCACCCACAACGCTGATCTAGGCTAAACAGGAGCTGCTTCTCAGGGAGGTGACGTCTGAACTGACTTCCTATGTTAAGAGCTAGTCACTAAAATTGGAGGGCAGCGTGGTACAGCCACCTCAAGGGCCTGAGACAAAAGGAATGGAGTCTGTTGGCCATAAAGGGATGGCTAGTGTTGCCGAGCCACTGTCAAGAGTGAAAAAACTAGCCATGGCAATGAGATTTACTGTGGCTGAGAACGCTTTTGGGGCTTTACCCAGTTTTCTGATCTGACTTCTCTGGTATCTAAGGAACAAATAATGGTGCTGGAGTCTCTCTATTTTGAACTTACCACAGTGGGTTAATACAAATTAGAGCAACAGTATATACATCAATGGGGAAAATGCAAAGAAAGATTTGGGGTAACTTCTGGAAGGAGACACAACAGGACCTGGAGATGTAGGATCATTAAGGGAACAAACACATCACAAAAGCTTTTGTGAAACTGATGGGTTGTGGGAACTGAAATATGGAAGTGTGGAGACAAGGCAGATTTACATCACTTACACTTGGCATTCATATAAAATAACAAATTCTTCAGAAGCCATCGAGCTGTTTGAGATTTGAGTATAAATCGCCTATGGGGATTACATCTCCTTTACTGACAAAAAGATGTTTCTCAAGGTATACAGGCAAAACAGTCTGAATGAAATCAGACAGAGTCAACAGACACAGTTCGATAACAATATGCATAATGCATACAAATTATGTACCTTTAAAAATCAATAACGGATTGTTTACTTAGAGATTCTTACCTTTGATCATAAGAATAATTACCACAAAAAATATAAGTGCATAGACTGATTTCAGATCATCTGAATATGAACAAGAGCTACCTCACTCAACAAGAGTCCCACGCTAATCATTTCACATCTCAGTACTTCTGTTTCATCAAGCATAAAATAAGGAAGACAGTAACTACTTCTTGGCAGACTTGAGGAGGTCAAACAATCAGCTAGCATTCATAAAGCGACCACAACAATACATGACATAATAAGTAGGCTGAGACAGGAGAATTAAGAGTTTAAGGCTAGGGTCCGGGCGGTGGTGGCGCACGCCTTTAATCCTAGCACTCGGGGGCAGAGGCAGGTGGATCTCTGTGAGTTCGAGACCAGCCTGGTCTACAAGAGCTAGTTCCAGGGACAGGCACCAAAGCTAAAGAGAAACCCTGTCTCGAAAAAAACCAAAAAGAAAAAAAAGAGTTTAAGGCTAGTATGGACTACATAAGGAAAGCTCCATCTCAAAAAGGGAAGGAAGGAAATGGAAAGGATTTAGCACACAGTAAGAGAGACCTGGTCAGTTGTCCTCATCAACTTAAACCATGAAACCCAATATAGGCAAGTTCAACAGAACCACCATATGCATGCTTCAGCACGGCCAGGGAACAAATGAAAAGCGGCATTACTGCCCACTGACTCCTGACATTTCTGAACATTACCATTTTCATTTTCTTGTGACGTATATGGTGAGAGGTGGCACCAAAGACTCAAAATGTGCTGCTGAATCACAGGAAAAACACTCTTCAAAAGGTGTAGGGACAGTGCTGTGCATTCCTACGAACAAGCTATTTTTATTCAACTTTACATTACGGTTAGCTTCTCACTGTACTTTGGTGCCTGCTATTCTACATCTTCAGTCCAGTCTCAAACCTGGGATCCAGACTCCCATACTCCACTGGACTGACTTGGCTTTTTCTCTTCAATCACAGAATCCATGCTGTAACTTTCTGTTTCACCCTGAGAAATCTCCTCAACTTGTCAACCCCACCAGTGTTTATCATGTGATGGTTCTGAGGTCAAGGTAAATGGATATCTAACTTTGATGTTATCCTCAAAATACAGAGACAGACCTTGTAACCTTGGAGGGTGACCGGAGACAGCAACAAAAACAGGAATCACTGCATGTTAAACCTTATAGGACTTGAAATATTCAAAGCCACTCTGGGGCCTTGTTACTTAATACGACTTGACTTTTAAATAAAATGCCTACTACTTCCAGAAGGGTAAGAAAAATTGTTAGAGCCGTGTTAATTAAACGCTTTGGAAAATAGTTTTGTTTCTGACACCAACTAGCTAAGTAAATTTGCTAATGAATATTTTTAGGTCACATTCCGTATTTGTAAAACAGCAGAATTCAAAAAGATGACCTTTATTTAAGCCCCCTGTTGCCTCAAACTACATGTTATAAAGAACACATTATATTAATATTGTGGGCATATACTATGCAGCAAGCATTGTACTGAGCTGTACAGCTTTAAATCATCTTCATAACAATTTTTGAAAAGACATTAGCATTACTCTTTCTACAGATGAGGAAAGAGGGAATGTGTTGTCAGTGACAGCGGAGTATCTGATTTGAATTCCACTGCCTGAACCTAGTTCAGTAATTACTGATGACCCCTACGCCACACTGCCTCTTTGTACAAAAACATTTTACGTAGTTTCAAGGAAAAAAGACAAGTAAATGAAAGTGAGAGCTTGGGAAGGGACCCCTCCACACTGGGTCCCTCTAATTTCACGTAGGACAGGCTCTCCCTCCCTTATCCCAGCGGTGCCGGGTGCTCCCTCAGTTCCGCGCCCCTCCTCCGGGCGGACCACGGCGACTGCCACGCGCGGGCAGGGGGCTGAGGCGAGGACCCGGCGCGGAGCAACGTGGGAGGCGGGCGGGCGAGCGGGTACCTGGGCTGCTGGCGGCGGCCGGCTGGTTCTCCCACCACAAGTCTCCCAGATCGTCTGCCATCTCCGCGGGACCCGACGCGAGCTGACAACCAGCTGAAACAAGCCGGCTGCTGAGATCCGCTCTGCCTCAGAGCCGGCGACAGCGACACCGCACGCGGAGAGCCACAGAACGCCGTCGCCTGCGCCCAGTGGTGATGACGTCACATGCACCACGCCCTCCAGCTGCGGAAGCCGGGGGTGCCGCCGTTTCCACACAGGTTCGCGTGCTCAAGATCCGTCTAGACTCACAGAGTAAATTTCCCAAATGATAGAAACTAGCCAAGACACAGAGCCAGAAGTTTAGCATCTGTTTTGATAGTTTTTGAAAATATGTTTAAGGGTTTTGTTTTGAATTATGGCGGAAAAGGCTGTGTCGAAAGTGTAAGAACTGATGCTAAGGACTTTTTTTCTCTGCTAAATTTCAAAGAACTCTCGCCGCGGGAGAAGACCCGAGCACGTGGGTGTGTTTTCATTAGGTTGTCAGTGTTCTGTCGCTCCTGCGCTTTTACAGTTTGCCCTGAAAGAGAAACTTGAGAGTTTCTAGCGATGAAAGTACATCTGGACGCTGCTTTTTTTCTACAACTTAAGAAAAGGAAAGGTAATTGATCAGGAAGGGCGCTAATGCCCTAGAGCCCCCAAACATTATACTGCTTCTGTATTTAAAATCAGGTTTTGATATGCTCCTTCAAGGACTGGGCGGGGGGGGGGGGGGGGTCTATGTGTCCCAGTGATTACTGTCGCTCTTGGAACAAGACCAGAATTTGGAACTGGGCGTGGTAATTCCAGCGCACTGGAGTCAGAGGCCCGCTGGTCTCTTGAGTTCAAGACCAGCCTGGTCTACGCAGTAAATTGTAAGACTGCCGGGACTGTGTAGAGAAGAGACGGAGAGGGACAGCACGCAGACAATCCACACATCCATTCTTCATGTGTTTACTGTTTCTCCCTATATAGAAAAAGATTACAGACTATATTGAGTAATCAATCTACTTTGTATTTACCTTTTAACTGTTTTGTTATCGGTAAAGTGATATCTGGGTTTATAAGTTAGCCCGTCCTAAAACCCCCGGACCCAGTACTTGATCACCTCAGCAACACAGGGAAGCTAATGCGGAAACAAGTGCTGGGGCTTTACCTGGTTCCCCTCTTTCTGTATCGCATTTGAATAAATATTGTTAGGGTTTAGGTAGGAGACATTCACTTCCCAGTGGTTTGAACTTGCAGCCTTCACAGAAAAGGAGACAAACTTTTGTTGACATTCTGGCATTTACACCGGCCTGTCCTCGGGGACCTAGCAGGACGCTTCAACAGCAGCAGTCAAGATGTAACATTGTGCCCACTGTCGCCACTGAGTAGAGCACTCTCCCAATGCACATTCGCTATAGTCTTATAAAAAGCCCTGCTCGCCCGGTTTCCCTCTTTCTAGTCCTCCCGCTATAGCTCAAACGCTGCCTCTGCACCCCTCCCCCCAATCACCTGCCAGGTGAGCCCTATTGCATGGTGTGGCTTTGTAGTGCCCCTTGGCTCCTTCCTACCACCAAAGTTACCTTCCACCATTAAACTATTACAACTTTAGCTTGTATGTCAGTAGGTCAATGTGGGTATGATTAAAAAAAAAAACAACCACAACAATAACAAAAAACTCAGTTCCTTGGTGGATAAATGGAGTGTTCTGGATAAGCCATCTAACCTTAGTGGACTTGAGTTCATAACACAAAGAGAATAAACTAGACAACCCCTGAGAACTCCCCAGTTCTGAGCCTACATCTTCAGTGCTGTACAGAGAAATGTGAACATTACTATTACAGTTGAAGAACATGATAGAATGTTTGTGTGGGGGAAGCTGTGTTGATGTTCAGAACAGATAACAGATTTGAGCCGAGCTTTCTGTGTGGCAGGAGCAAGACAGTGATTCCCTTAGTCTCTAGAACTTGCAGTGCCTCTTGTCCAGTTATCACAGGTTGAAATAGCCTTTCCTCGGTCTTCATTTTACTGATGTACAAATGTCAAGATTTCCTATGGATGCCATGATGTGAAAGAATAAAGGGTTGGTACTGTTTGAGGATGGTGTGCTGTACTTGACACGAGCTATAGACATCTGATAGGAGGAAACCTTGATTGAGAAAAGTGCTCTATAAGATTGGGCTGTAGACAAGCCTTGAGAGCATTTTCTTAATTGGTGATTGATGGGAGAGGGCCCAACTCATTGTGGGTGATGCCATCCCTGTCCTGGGTTCTGTAAGAAAGCTGGTTGAGAAAGCCATGAGTACTAAGTCAGTAAGCAGCACCTCTCCATGGCCTCTGCATCAGTTTCTGCTTTCAGGTTCCTGTCCTGTTTGAATTCCTCTCCTGTCTTCCTTTAATGGTGGACAATCCCATGGAAGCATAAACCAAATAAACCCTCTCCTCAAGTTGCTTTGTCATGGTAGTTCATCCCAGCAATTAGGGGGACCCTCCAAGTGTTCAGGCAGGGAAACAGCCCCACCCCCACCCAGGAAGAGATGAGAATGAAAACCCACTTCAGATTGACCTTGTTAATCTGGATCAGCCTTCAGGGAGTCTAATGGTAGGCATTGTGGGCACATTTAAGCAATACAATTTGGGGAAAATGTCCAGGCAGCAATCATTCCAGCTCCAAGTCCACAACAAAGTTTAAAGGGTGAGCACTTAGAAACTCCTTTATAATGTACTTGTGACCATGAGTGTGGGTGGATTCTATAGCTAAAAGGTCTAGGATCCAATGTGGTCTCTGACCAATATAACATAGAAGTCAGCAGTACATAAAATATGTGTGACATCTTCCCTAAGGACAGGTTCTATTAACTCTGGGAGCTAAAGATACTGTCTAGGGAGAAAGAGTCTGGGATAATCATCCTGGGGAGTTCAAGTGAGGTGCGCCTCTGTAGCCAAAGGCAAATGAGATCTGCCTCTACAAATAGCAGAAAGGGCACCAACCAGGTCGTTAACAGTACCCACTCTCAGCTTTCTCAGTGGAATGGGGGTATTTATTTTATCTCTCCCATTGAGGAGGCATCCCTGAATGGTTAACATTCCTTATTTCCCCGGATATCTGTGGGTCCAAGTACCTTTGTAGTAATATTTCATCTGTATTTTAATAAATAAAGCTTGCCTGAAGATCATAGAGTAAAACAACCCCACAGGTAGCCTTACAGACCAGGCAGTGGTGAGACACACCTTTAATCCCAGTAGCCACACTAGTTTGCCATAGAAACTGGGTAGTGGCATATGCCTTTAATCTCAGCCCTAGAGGGGAATATAAGATGGGAGGAGACAGCTCTCAGACACAGTCTCATTCTGAGATTCCTGGAGGCAGTATTGCCATTTTGGACTTAGGTAAAGGCAAGAACCGGTGGCTGGCTGTTTTGCTTTTTTGGTTGAACCCTAATATCTGTCTCTGGGTTTTTGTTAATCAAGCTACAGACCTTTGTGCTCCCAACAAGCAATATTAACCTGAGCTAGGACACAGATCATAAATACAATGACAGGGGCTTATTTAGAGCATGGGTTCCTCGACTGTGTAAACACAATTAATAAACTTCAGCAAAGTCCTGGACCTTGGTAGTGTAGTTCTGAAGCGTTTGCACCATGGAGACAATAAAAGTAGTAAGAAACTAACAGCATGTCCTATGTACTCTCTGGGCACTGTGCGTTTTAATCAGTCTGAAGAGCAAAACACATTGCTGGATTTGATGTTTTAGGTTGTCGTTCTCTACCTTTATGCTCTAAAAGGATGCTATAAATATCCTCTGAGACCTAGCATCAGATTTGGGTTTTGCAAATCGGATACGCTGGTAAGAGGCGAGAGAAAGATGACCACTGACTATGCCTCTCCTTGGCCTTTGGCTAATTGCAAGTGTAACATTTATTCTATCAGTTTAATACCAACAGGACTAAATTGAGGCTTTTACTCTCAGCTCAGCACTAACATGAAGCAGAGGGAGAAGCATCTGGAGTGTTGTGTCCCACACGTCTGCTTGCTGACCCTCGTCCCTTTCATGACATCTGTGACTCCAGTTCAGTGCCTCTGTCCTTATGATTTTGAGCATTGGTAAACATTTACTGCCTCAGTCCTTTCACGCTTAGGGGTGGAATGACCCCTCCATTACTAGCTCTAGAATGTTGCCATCGCTCTTTTCTCTAGCACTATCTTCTGTCCATTAAACGCTCTATAAATCTCTGCATGTATGTGGGAGGGGGTGTTGTGTTGTAGGTGATGTCTGCGTATGTGTTTGTGTGTGTGTGTGTGTGCGGTACATTCACATGAGTGTGCAGGTGTGCTCCCGTGTGTGCACCTGTGGATGGCAGCGTAGAACATCTGATATCTTCCTCTTTCCTTTCCATCCTGTTGCTGAAGACAGAGCCTCTCTGAACCAGAAACTCTCTGTACCACGTGGCATGCCTTACTTGACATGCCTCTCCATCAGCTAGTGCTGCCTATGTTCCCTTTCCTTGAACCAGGATGGAACATTATCACTCCAACCAATAGAACACATTGGAAGTGATCTGTGAGGTCTGAGGCTAGAACTCTGAAATTCTAAGCATTTCCATCTTGTTCCCTTAGAATGTGTTCTAGGTAAGGTTTCGTTACTGTGAAGAGACACCATGACCCCTGCATCTCTTATAAAGGAAAGTATTTAATTGGGGCTGGCTTACAGTTCAGAGGTTTAGTCTACCATCATCTTGGCAGGGAGTATGCTGGCATGCAAACACACACGGTGCTAGAGAAGAAACTTAGAGTTCTATATCTGGATCCTGAGGCAGCAGGAAGAGAGAGTGAGCTGCTGGGCCTGGACTTGAAATCTCAAAGTCTGCCCAACCCTGTGCCACACTTCTTCCAACAAGGCCATACCTACTCCGACAAAGTTACACCTCCAAAAATGCCACCCCCTATGAGTCTGTGGGGGGGACATTTGCATTCAAACCAGCACAGGATATCCACATGGATCCAAGGTGTCATGCTGTGACAAAACCACAGAAGCCCGCAGAGAGAACCACATGGAAAGAACATGCAGGTAGTTTGTTCCACTGTTTATCTTAGGTTCTTACTAACCGTATCTACAAGACATAAAAAGATATAGATAATTCTAGGTAATTCTGTGTTCTAGGTGTTTATTGACCTCAGTCTGCAATT